TATAGAAACCTTTAACACATAGTGTAAGGATCACTCTACCACCTACCACCTAGGGCTGATCGATAACATTTTGCCATGTTTACTTTATTTACATCTATGTCCATGTATATCCACACACACACACACACACACACACACACCGGTTTGTTTGTTTTTGTTGAAACATTTGGAAATAAAATGCAGACATCATGACATTTTACTCCTAAATATATCAGCAAGCATCTCCTGTAACCACAATATTATTATTGCACCTAAGAAAATTGCCTAATATCATCTAATATCCAGTCTATATCAAATATTTTCCAGTTATCTCCAAAATTTTTCTTAAAATTTAACTTTCCAGTGAGCATCCAGTCAAGGTTCACACATTGCATTTGTTTATTATGTTTCTTTAGTTTTTTTTTTTCCCCATTACTTTGACTGCTTCAAGAAGTCAGTTACATTTTAGAATGCCCTTTTGTTCTAGATTTGTTTGTAACTTCGTCCATTATGATTTCAGTATTGTTTGATTTTTTTTAACTAGAATTAGCATGTGTTCATTTTATTCTCAAGAAAACAATGAGTTAATAATTCCATTGTAAATTAATCTTCTAAAATAACAATCCAAATTACAAACAAAGCTATCTACATACACCCAAACATTGCAGCCTGGGTTATGATATTCAAAAGTACTGAAAAAGCAACGCAATATTTCCAAACAATAGAGGAAAAGTTAAATAAACTATGGCAAATCTGTATGGCAGAGTATTATGTAGTAACTGAAATTTTTATAACATTATAATGACATGAGAAAAGATCACAATATAATGGTAAGTGAGAATGTTTTGTTATCTGTCATCAAGTCAACTCCTGACTTACGGTGACTCCATGCACAATGGTATCAGTCTATTGTGATCCATAGGATTTCCAGTGGCTGATTTTCAGATGTACATCACAAGGGCTTTCTTTTTAATCTGTCTTAGTCAGGAAGCTCCACTGAGACGTGTTCAGCATGATAGCAACACAAACTTCCACTGATGGAAGAGTGGTGGCTACACATGTGGTGTACTGGCAAGGAATTGAACCTGAGTCTCTTAGATGGAAAGTGAGAATTTTACCACAGAACTCCACTGCTCCCCAAGTGAGAGTAGCAGGATGAAAAACTTCATAAACCATATGGTCTCAAATCTAAGCACAGAAATTTTTTTACAAAGTTATATCAAAATGCACATGGAAGGAAAATCAATTTGCTATGTAAACTTCACCCAAAACACAACAATAAAATAAATATACATGGAAATTTATCTATGAATGATATTTATTTCCTTTTTTATTTTATGCTTTCCAAAATTCAATAACATGAGCATTATTTTCATAATCAAAATATACTTAAATATAAAAGGAGTTGTCCCTTATATTAAGCCCAGCTCTGCCTTGCTATATTACCATTTATTCAACAACATCCCACCACTGCAAATAATTCTGTGTCCATCTCCCTCCCTTATTCTTCCATTTATTTGCTTTTTAGAGCTACCTGCTACATCTGCAGCCCACATTTGTTGGAAAATCTGCCAGCTCACCATCATTGTACACAGTTCCCTCGTAGTCTTTCTCATAAAAGACTCCATGGGGCTGAATGCTGAAAGGCTGAGAGGCACGGTTGTAGAAGACTACCTGGATGATGTCACCCACTTCAGCCCGGATCACTGGCCCTGGAAAATGAGGAGAGTCAATTAGAATGAAAATAGTGATAAATAGAGAACAGGGAACAGAAGGACAGTGAGGAAAACAAAAGGGTAGCAAAAGGTGAAAAAAATAGAGAATTCTTCACTCAAATAATAATTAAAATAAATAAATAAAAATAATATCTTCCAACTATATTGCAATTTATAGTGTAAGTCTGCATACTCTATGTGAAAACATTTTTAATTGAATGACTTTATCTTTATAATTGAGAATCATTCTAAGGTATACAGATTGTTGTTGTTGTTGTTGTTATTTGCCGTTGAGTCGGCCCCGACTCATAGCGACCCCTCCTTCGGTTTCCGAGGCAGTACCACTACAGAAGTAGGATTGCCCAACCTTCCTTCTTAGGAGTGGCTGATGGGTTTGAACCGCCAGCCTTCTGGTTAGCAGTCAAGTGCCTTAGGCAGTATGCTACCAGAGCTCCCAAGGTATACAGATTAGGAGTTATTATTTCTCTCTTGAGGAAACTGCAGCTCAGAGAGGTAGAAATGACATAACCAAGTTCACATGGCTTATTAGGAGCAGATCCAAGACTTAAAAGCCAAGGCTTTGCCCCACCTTACTGTCAGACTCAAATCCCATTTTCCCTAACTTTATTGTTGTTGTTGTTATGTACTGTTGAGTCGGACCCAACTCATAGCGATCCCTCCTTGGGTTTCCTAGGCAGTATCACTATGGAAGTAGATTGCCCAACCTTCCTTCCCAGGAGTGGCTGGTGGGTTTGAACCGCCAGCCTTCTGGTTATCAGTCAAGTACCTTAGGCACTATGTATTGTAGCAATGCTTATAGCTGCATCTCCTGATGTTATTGATGTGGCATATCATCGAGTCAATTCTGATTCATAGCGATCCCAGGTGACAGAAGAGAATTGTCCCATATGGTTTTCTAGGCTGTAATCTTGACATGAGGGAGCTCTGGTGGTGCAGTGATTAAAGCATTTGGCTGCTAACCAAAGGTTGGCAGCTCAAACCCACCAGCTGTTCCATGGGAGAAAGATGAGGCAATCTGTTTCCATAAAGATCCATAGACTTGGAAACCCTATGGGAACTATAGGGTCGCTATGAGTTGTAATAAACTTAGTGGCACTGGGTTTGCTTTGGGTTTAGAATCTTGACATTTGTCTTGGAAGAAGTACAACCAAGAGTGCTCTTTAGAAGTGAGTTCATTAAGACTTTGTGTCATATATTTTGGGCATGTTATCAGGAGGGACCAGCCCCTGGAGAAAGACATCATGCTTGGCACAGTAGAGGGTCAGAAAATCTTTCAGTGAAATGAATTGACACAGTAGCTTTCACAATGGCTCAAACATAGTAACTATTGTGAGGGTGGCACAGGACCAGGCAGAGTTTTGTTCTGTTGTACATGGGGTTACTATGAATTGAAATAAACACAATGGCAACAACAAAAACAACAATATTTACAGAAGCAGCTTCTAAGTTCTTTCTCTCATGGAGCAGTTGGGTGGATTCGAACTTCCAACCTTTCAATTAGCAGCTGAGAGATTAACCATTATGACACCAGTGCTCCTAATAGGACCTGTTTAAATGTCTGAGCATGCCTCAATCTTAATCCGATTATAAACAAATTAAAATTATTTTATTTTTTAGCCACAACTCCTGACTCATACCTAGCTTATGTCAACTTTGAGACCAACTGGAAGTACCTTGAATACTTATGGTGGCAATAAGCTTAGATCTGAGCTTCTATCTTGGTTTTTAATTAATTTTCATACCTAATGCCCCACTTCTGCCTAAAGATTGGGGATTTATACTGATCCCAAGTCAATGATAGCTCTTTATTCCTCACCTCCAGCTTTCTTTCTTAGGCTGAGATTCTGCTCCTTATATTTCCCTTACTGGCTGATATAAGGCCTACTGTCCATGTTCAGATCTCTTAGAATCAACTGACACATATCTATCCCCAGAGTAAGGTCCATTATATCATTTATATGTCCAAAACTTTACCCTATCCTATCTATTTTGTGTTCCACCAAGTGACCTAACTATGCCTAACTAAGTATTGTTTCAATACTGTTACTTAGACATCCCGAATAGAGACTTTTATTCATTCTCATTCATCATATATTTTCAAGACAGGAATAGAGTATGTAGCATTCCTCACATTTACTTTACTACTGAATCTTTTTTTTCAGTGAACATCTTCCAGTGCCACTATTGTACAGATCAAACTTTTAAAATTTTCTTTCTAAGGTATGGACTAGATAAGTCAGTAAGACTGTCCAGGTCCTTGCTAATATGGTACAAGAGACAAGCTGGCATGATATAAAGATTTTCTTACTATGGTGAGGGATGTGAAATCAGACTTACAGCCTGGCCCTGTTGCTGTTGTTGTTGCCCCTTGGGCAATCCTACTTCCGTAGTGATACTGCCTCGGAAACCCAAGGAGGGGTCGCTATGAGTCGGGGCCGACTTGACGGCACATAACAACAACAACAACAACAACAGGGCCAGGCTGTAAGTCTGATTTCACATCCCTCACCATAGTAAGAAAATCTTTATATCATGCCAGCTTGTCTCTTGTACCATATTAGCAAGGACCTGGACAGTCTTACTGACTTATCTAGTCCATACCTTAGAAAGAAAATTTTAAAAGTTTGATCTGTACAATAGTGGCACTGGAAGATGTTCACTGAAAAAAAAGATTCAGTAGTAAAGTAAATGTGAGGAATGCTACATACTCTATTCCTGTCTTGAAAATATATGATGAATGAGAATGAATAAAAGTCTCTAAGAATTTTTAAGCAAAAAAAGAAATTTAACTGTGCTTAATCTAGTATTTTGCAAACTCACTCAGTTCCAAACCCCTTTTTCACACAACATTCATCTCTTCAGACTCACTTTGGAAAATAGTCCTGAGTTGGTTTAGAAGACTCCCCTACTTCTTTGACTCTAGTCAATGAATTTCATAAGTTAGGAATTCTTTACCCAGGATTCCAAGATGCTTTTCTTCTTCCAGATTCACCTTCTCCTGGAATGTTTCATCTTGGAACGCTTCATATCGAACTTTCCAGTAAGTGCCTCCAATTCGACTAGAGCTCTTCTGGAAGAACTTATCTGATCCACTGACACAGATGGAGGCAAATGTCACATGATTTCATTGGGTATAAAAAGCACCTCCCATCTCACCCTTAGTTTCATCAAGTTATATACCTTCATGGTTAGGAAGGAGTTCAGAGATCATGTGAAGTTATTTCCTCTAGAGACACCCCTAACAAATGACATACAGCTTACATTTGATCTTTTCCAAAGACAGGCAACCCATTCTCAGAGTAGGTAATCTCTCCTATGGTTGAGTAGTTTTAAGAGTAGTTTCACTAATTGGAGGTTTTCTTAATAGTAGGCTGAAATTGGCTTGCTTGTAAGTTCTAGTTAGTGGGACCACTTCTGCATTGTAGAGTTACATAGTCTATGTGTCTTTAATCAATCTCAGGTACTCATGACTTTCCTCTTAACCAAGAATAATCTTCACCCCAAACTGAAAGTCCACTACGTTGGTAAGCCCAGTTGGAGATTCTAGAATGCACACTGATATCTAGGCATCTACTTTCTTAAGTTTCCTTCAGATTAACTCCATTATTTCCTAGAATAATAAGTATGAGTGCCCTAGAATCTTCCCATATGCCCTTTCCTAGTCCTCTACTAACTGTTTCTTTTGTGAAAGACTTGACATCAATGTTTTTTGAGTAAATTAATATAATTCAAGTTCTACCAACTTAACAAGGCAATAATATCCTTAACTAGGAGCTCTGGTAGCATAGTGCCTAAGGCACTTGACTGATAACCTGAAGGCTGGTGGTTCAACCCACCAGCCACTCCTTGGAAGGAAGATTGGGCAATCTACTTCCATAGTGATACTGACTCAGAAACCCAAGGGGGGGTTGCTATGAGTCGAGTCTGACTCAATGGCACATAAAAACAACAACAACAATATCCTTAACTACCCCGCCACATATAGATCATATATGAGGCAAGGGAACTTGGAGAAGTTCTTCTGAAGGAATAAACATGGAACGCCCACTATTTGGGTTGTTTTTCCTCTCTCAATATTTCTCTTAGTGGTCTCTACATTCCTGCTCATATGCATCCTACAGACTATAGGATGCATTCTTTGCAATTCCCATTCTAGAAGAGAAGAGAAAGACCAAGGATATAAATAATGGATAAGATAGAGAAGAGTTTGAGGAAAATACCTGAGATACTATCTGGCCCCACCTGGGCCTTCCTTTCTGAACATACCCTGAATATGTCTAGCAAGCCCAACCTAAAACTCTGCTGTAGCTATTTTCTGGTAATATAACTTAACCCTACAAAAAACTTTAATACTCACAGCTCTCCAGGAACAAGCTCCCCAGGGACCCATAAGAAATTAGTTAAGATTGGTCATGTATTCCTAGCCAGACAGTCATTATAACCCTTAAACAGAGTGAGATATTTCTTGAAGGGAGAGAACAGGTGTTTGGGACTGTACCTAGGAATATGGAAAAGGAGCCCATTGCCTCTTACCTTCCTGGTTCCCTCAAACTCTTTCCAGTCCTCCCATCATGACCCAGTGGACCATAGTCCCATTGAATTTCACTGGCCTCAATGAAGTACTGCCGGAGTTTTCCTGTGAGCTGTTCTACAGGAGGATCTGTGGAGCAAGACTTGACTTTGTAGAGTGCCTGCATGCCATCTGGAGAAAAAAAATATTATGGTTAGTCTCATTTCTTCTTTTAACTAGTTTTTGCCTTTCCACCACCTACTAGACTCTTTACCTTTGCCTAACCATGAACTGAAGAAAAAAACTCAAGCCTTGAGTTGCAATATTGAAGGAAATTATATGGGTAAAATATTGAACGATGCAGGAATACAGAGAGTCACTGTACCAAACAGAATTGGTCAACGTTCAGCTATTTCAGGAGGTAGCATATGATCAAGTTCCAAGGATATTTAAGGAAAAAGTTAAAGGTTCACTGAGGTAATGTGTGAAAAACAAGGCTCCAGGAATTGGCAGAACATCCCTAGAGATATTTCAATGAACAGATGCAGGACTGGAGGTGCTAATTCATTTGTCAAAAAATGTGTAAGATAGCTACCTGGCCAACCGACTGGAAGAAATCCATATTTGTGCCAATTTCAAATAAGGGTCATCCAACAGAATGTAGAAACTATCAAATGATATCATTACTATCCCACGCAAATAAAATTTAGCTGAAGATGAATCAAAGATGGTTCCACCAGAATGTTGACAGAGAACTTCCAGAAATTCAACTTGGATTCAGAAAAGGGTACAAAACTAAGGATATCATTGCTGATGTCCGATGGATCTTGGCTTAAAGCAAGGAAGATAAGAAAAATGTTTGCCTGTGTTTTATTGACTATTCAAAGACATTTGACTGTGTAGTTCATAACAAATTATGTAACATTGCAAAGAATGGGAATTCTAGAACACTTAATTGGTCTCATGAAGAATCTCTACATAGACCAAAAATTGGTCATTCTAACACAACAAGGAGATACTGCATAGTTTAAAATCTGGAATGGTGTGCACCAAGGTTGTATCTTTTTTATCATACTTGCCCAATCTGTATGCTGAGCAAATAATCCAGGAAGATTGACCGTATGAAGAAGAGCATAGCATCAATATTGAAGAAAGACTCATTAACCACCTTTGATATGCATGTAACACAACCTTGCTTACTGAATGTGAGGAAGACTTGAAGCACTTACTGATGAAAATCAAAGACTACAGCCTTCAGTATGCATTACACCTCAACGTAAAGAAAACAAAAATCCTCACACCTGGACAAATAAGAAACCCACAATAAATGGAGAAAAGATTGAAGTTTTCAGAGATTTCACTTTACTTGGATCCACAAACAACACTCATGAAAGCAGAAGTCAAGAAATCATAGGTCATATTATACCAACATCCATCAAGAATATAGATGCAAAAGTCTTCAACAAAATCCTAGCCAATAGACTCCAATGACATATCAAGAAAATTATTCATTATGACCAGGTGGGGTTCATATCAGGTATGCAAGGATGGTTCAACATTAGAAAAACAATCAATGTAATCCACCACATAAATAAAACAAAGGAAAAAAAAAAAACATATGATCATATGAATTTATGCAGAAAAAGCATTTGATAAAGTCCAATACTCATTACTGATCAAAACATTCATCAAAATAGGAATAGAAGGGACATTCCTCAACATAATAAAGGGCATTTATGCAAAACCAACAGCCAACATTATTCTCAATGGAAAGAGACTGAAATCATTTCCCTTGTAAACAGGAACTGGACAGGGATGCCGTCTATCACCACTTGTATTCAACATTGTATTGGAAGCCCTCGCCAGGGCAATAAGGCAAAAAAGGGAAATCAAAGGCATCCACATTGGTAAGGAAGAAGTGAAATGATCCCTATTTGCTGATGATATGATCCTATATCTAGAAAACCCAAGAGACTCAGTAAAAAAATCTATATGGGAAAACCAATCACTAACTTTATATGAAAGGAAAGAGACTTTGGATAAGCAAAGCACAA